TACATGTAGAATTTTTGTCGGTTTACCGTGAATGAATTCAGACACCATTAAAATTTACAACTAAATTTAATTAATTAGTTGATCCAATTTTATTGCAGTACATATGATAACTTCTGTGACATTCTCCGTGGCATGATGTCTAACAAGTGTGACCGTGCAATGCAAAACAAAGGAGTCCAATGTGACTGTCCCATTCCTACTGGCTTGTTTACCGTCCCGACCCAGTCCATCGTCGTGACGAAAAAACAGCTCGACAAATTGTCAATTTTTAACTCGCTTCATAGCGTATGTATCATGAAGACCATCAACATATCTGCGATCTTAAACACTTCAAAAATCTTTTATGAAATTTCAAGTTATAAATTAACAGTTTGATCACGTGACTTTAGGTAAAACAAAGCAATATTTTGCCCAAAACGCAACGGGCTCCGTGGAAACTAGTTGAAGCGTCTTCAAAGACTGCTTAAGGCCCTTCATAAATGTTCTGGTATCGAACAAGTGTTTGAATTCTATAAGGTTAACCTTTACTAAGTCAACAGCTATCCATGAAATTTTASAATCTCAGTTAGTACCCAGGCGTTTCTATTCACTCCGAGATCTTGATACGAAGAAACTCAGTCAGGCTCTCACACRTCTATTTGATCAATGTATAAAAACACATCAAAACTCGCGGCTGCTYCTGTTTTTACAACGCAATTATTGGTATTCTGACACATTTATCAAATAGTAGCGCTCGTCACTTCGACGCMGCCCGAGTAAACGGTTTAAGAGCGTTTAGCGATATATCTGATGTATTTCTTGATGTATTTCTAGGGCCGATATTGGATCAAGGCTGAGTTCATAGATGTGTATGAAAGATCTTTGGGMTGTTTCAGCCTTCAAATKGATGTCAAAATCAACATTGATAAAAAGAGTCAAAGTTTGCGAATACAAGTTGAATAAAATGGATCACATGACCAAAAGCCAGCTATGGAAAGAGACACAGATTTAAGCAATTATACTTCTTCACAGTGTTACAGCAAACCTTGGTATAGTTACATATGTAACCTTATAGTCCATTTCCAGTAGATAGTTTATTGATCACCGCTTGTACTTGGAAATACCATATGCTATGGATAAATTCTCCTGAGAATAAATCATCAACTCTAATAAGAAGCCTCTTCTGTTTGTTTGCAATTTCGAAAGCAGTGTGAATTAACTGTACGAAAATGTTAAATACTCACATTGATTTTAGCCTGCGTAGCCAGGCGTTCCTAGTCGCTCTGAGAGAGTTTGGAGCGGATCAATCGATCAATCAATCAATCAATCGATCAATCAATCAATCAATCAATCAATCGATCAATCAATCAATCAATCGATCAATCAACCAATCAATCAATCAATCAATCAATCAATCGATCAATCAATCAATCGATCAATCAATCGATCAATCAATCAATCGATCAATCAATCGAATCCTCTTTCACTATGACGTCACAACAATGTTTTTAGTGAAGGATAGAAATAGAACATTGTCATTTTTTACATATATCATGATTTGATTATTGACTATTAGCTTTCAAATCCTTCAAATGGAGATTTATTGTAATTTTTTTTTGTAAAGTATTTCATCGTTCTTAATTTTTTCTTGTTTTCTTTTTATTACAATCTGTGTGTTCTCTTATGTCGACAATAATCTAAAATAACTGGCAACCATAGAATGCTTTTAAGTTATGTCAAGTTGCAGCAAAGTATATTCAATCAATCGTCATCGATTAGTAAGATTCAATCAAAAGTCAACTTAAGTCMCTACATCGATAATTGATGAAGATAAACATTCAAAAAATCAGCAAGCTAAAGGTCGCGCTGCAACCACTGTATCAACTGGAAAAGGCCGTACTAATATACATACAATATATCTCTTGAAATCAAAAGATGTAAGTCTACAGTTTTTCAGCTCTGTTTCATTACACAACTACAACTTGTTTGTCATGAATTTGTAAAATAKGAAAAAGCGTATTCTGTATTAGTAACCAATTGCAGTATAACAATGTTGTGTTTTTGCAAGCCCGTGTACGTTTATACGCCTCTACACTATCCATGATATAAACGACTAACTTCATTCAAGCAAACTACGGCATTTCATGTACGTGTTAACCTAAACTCACTCGTTGTTTATCAATAAGAAGTACTAAGAAATCCAAAAAATCAGGGTTAAACTTAACGAGGGATAAGAAGACTGCAGACTCAACGGTCAAGACATTTGGTTGCCTTGGAGTTAAGTTCTCGATTATGAAATCGTCAGGCATTTTATTTCAACGCTGTTTGTATATAGTAGTATTAGTGTTATTTGGAGCAGCAGCAAGCCTGCGTAAGTATAATTACTGTCAGGTTTTATTTAATGTCATTCCTTACATTCCTTTAGTCAGTTTGAATGTTGTCGATCTCAGTGAGGGGTGGTGGGTAAGGTGCAATTTCGTTTCCATTAAATTAAAAACTCTAATGATGGATGGACGTACATTATGTTGGTGTTTGCAATGAAATGAATATCACAATCAAAAATTGAATACCAAAGTTGTCAATTTTCGTCGGGAAATTGCCCTAGTTCGTTATGACGTCACATCAAAACATTCTATTGTTTTAACGCTAAGAATTATGGTCGCCAGAAGGGATCAGAGTGACTGCATATCAAATAAAATGTACATGAACAATCATTTATACATGATATATATCAAAACACGATTCATTGAGGTTCTACTTTAGTAGACAATATAAATGGGTCCAAATTTCCACTGTTTTCGAGCATCGTTTTCCGATGTAAACATAGCGCAATTGCTGTCCCACTCGTAMTATTTACTCGTCTCTTTACTCCGACGAAGGATTAACGTCCGAAACGTTAGTTGTTAACGCCGTCACATAAAAATCGAAAAAAAATAAACATCTATAAAAATGACATTTGAGAATCATGGAGTTGTTTCAAGCATAAAAGAAACTTCACATCCACTTTGAATCCTAGTCATTCGCGCGATGTGATTGGCTAGAGCGCGGTCCGGTATCCTAGTCATTCGCGCCATGTGATTGGCTAGCGCGCGGTCCGGTTTTYCACGATCTGCTTGTGTCCTGCAGCTAGGCTGCGAGCAAAGTTGCATAAAATACAAATAAAAAAATAAAAATGTTATTTACCGGCTATAGGTTGGTCTCGCTGCGCTCGTTCCGTACTGTCAAGACCTCGGGCAGTGTTTTCCTATACGGACCTCCCAGCCGGTAAATAACATATATATATGAATTTCTCAGAAATTGTGGTACGGTTATCATGTCAGTCAGGTATACCTTTTAAAATGAGGACATAATAATTACATAATAAGCTACTAAACAGTTGCGATAATTCTATAAAACATATCGTCTATAAAACATATTTCGTTAAAAAATGACTTTCAATTATCGATCAGTGAGTTATAGCTCTCTTTCTGTGTATTGTAGGTTGCGTGGATGATTCTCTCGGTCAGTGAGTTGTAGCTATCTTTCTGTGTATTGTAGGTTGTGTGGATGATTCTCTCGGTCTAGAGTCAAGAGGCATCATCCCTGATAGTAGTTTCAAAGCTTCGTCATTTGATTCTTCAAAACCGCCATACAATGCTCGATTTGAATCAGATTCAGACGGCTGGTCACCGGCTAATGACATAGAACCAGGTGACTACTTACAGGTCGATTTGCAGTGGGACTACATACTGTGYGCTATAGCTACACAAGGTGCGAGGAACGATTCTGKTGGGTTTGTGAGAACTTACAAAATAATGCTGTCAAGAGACAACGTTGTCTGGACGGCTTACAGTGAAAATGGAAAGGAAAAGGTATTCATTTATCGTTACAAAGAAACCACTAAAGAAGAAAAATAGTAGTTTTTTCTCAACTTCATCTTATTCATTTAGGTTTTCTCAGGAAATGTAGGCGCCAAAACTGCGAAGAAGAATGCTTTCAATAACAACCCTCAAGCACGGTACATCCGGGTAATTCCGATCGACTACCATATTAGGWAATCACTCAGAGTAGGTCTTTTTGGCTATGCAAGATTCGAAGGTAAAAGTGATTACTCTTTTTATAATCTGTTCATCAACATAAGCTGTGCGTTGTCCATACGATGGGCAACATTGTTGGCACATTGTGATGATCTCATAATTCCCTTGTAAATAATTCATGAGCTAATCATATCTACAATGGTGGACATTTTTATACGGGACAAGCTCATATTTTTATACCTTTGAGAGAATATATTGTAAACTCCCCCCGCCCCCCAAACCCACCCTCATTCTTTGTTGATTTCATGTGAGATCAATTTTTGAATGGGTATTGAACATGGGCATCTTCCAACATTGAATAGGGGGGCAAGGGGGGGGGGGGGGGGGGGGGGGTAGGGAAACAGGAAAATTATGTAAATTGTTCAAAATAATCGTGTTGTCCCATTAGAAATGTCTCCCATTGTAGTCATGTGGTTGGTGTTGTATATAAAATATCGAAATAGATTCTATTTCCAAAGGCAAAATGTTTTGTTTTTATTCCTTTCCAAATAAAACGTCTTTGACGTCACATATACAAGGGATCTATTGACAAAGTGACATATGATAATTGAAAACAAAAATAAATGCTTTTTAAAAAAATCCTAGAAGATTTTTAACGAAATCGCAGCAACGAAATTCTGAGTTTAGRAGCTCATTGTGTAACAATTGCTCTTTCATGACATGAAAACCATATTTAACTTGATTCATTTTTTTTCTTGTTTTGATTTATTTTCTTTTGTATAATACAGTGTGTATCAGCAATCCTCTTGGCATGCAGTCGGGAGCCATCAAAGATGACCAYCTTACAGCATCGTCATCTCAACAATCAATTAAGAATGCTAGGTTGATGTCAGCGTCGTCATGGTGCCCAGTATCACGTGATCTAAGCCCATACCTYCAGGTGGACTTAGGCTCTGAGCATGTGATATGCGCTGTGGCTAYGCAAGGGAACAATGCCACTGACCAGTGGGTAACGTCGTATCATATCATAATGTCACTTGATGGCAGATCATGGTCATCTTACCAAGAACGCAACAAAACTAGGGTAAGAGAAGATTACCCACAATTCTCATCCAARCTTGTTTTAATAAAGCAACATCGTTTAATAAGGGAAGGRGTAGGGAGTGCAGGAAAATTATTTGAAGGGAAATAAAAAATATTGAAAAACTGCAAGTAGAGAGACTGAGGAAGAAAGAATTGTGCTCGATTAAAATTCAAAACAACAAATTTTCCACTGCTCTCATTAATTGGCCGAGAGTCAACCACGTGACGCSATGGAGCCTTCCACTTMAGAACATTTTGTTGTTGGATAATCAAAACAATAGCAGTTGACATCTCCGGCATTTTGCTGTGATCGTTGCCCTTGGAAACTGGATGTTCATCAAAACATCATAGTTCCCCTCTTGAACTACGTTATCACTGTTTGTTTTTCGCAACATTTAGTCTCCTCGGGTAACTATCAGGGTATAATTCCCTCGATTTAACTACTGTATGGTTTAAAAAGAGATGCAGTATATGAAGCGGATATGAATAAAAAGTAAGGGACATGAAGAAGTTAATAGAAAATCAGTAAGCTCGCTTTTTAAGTGTAGCAAAAACAGTGATAATAGATAATTATTTTGTAGATATTCCTTGGTAACAGTGATCAATGGACCATTGCTCGTCAAGTGTTATACCAAAGTCCTATAACAAAATACATGCGCATTATACCCAAGACATCCCATAATGCACCTTGCTTGAGACTGGAGGTTTATGGTTATAAATTGCAGCCAGGTACATATGTTTACCAGCGGTAGACCATCATTAATTCCCTTTATATTATTTATGACTATTGTGATACTTTCTATATCCATTTATGTCCTGTATAATGAAAATTCGTTCGAGATGATTCAGGCCCAAAGTCCAAATCAGTCATCAGTATTGCTGATTTGGCCCTAAAGAGTCCGTTAGGAGATCAAAATTACCACATAAAAACTCAAAACAGCMCCTAAACTAAACTGAGATGACCTCATGTACAACTGAAACAGCACTAGTAGCCATTTTCATTTTCATATGTATACCATTTCAGCCCTTTTACAAAATGGTCATTTTGGATTTTTGGCAGAGCAAAACCGAAATTTCATTGTGAATTTCATTTTTATCATTTACCACTAAGAACTTTAATTCTCGTTTTTCTGATTGATATACTGATATCATAATCATTCTTGAARATTTATCAGAGGCTCCTCCCTGGAAAAGTTTCAGACGAATTTACAATAAAAATTAGGAATACAGCTCATTATCAAAGAACAATTAAAACAAATCACACTTACCTCATTTTCATAACCTCCTCAAAATTGAAACCAAACAGTTTGATGATTAACGATTCCTAAAATCTTCATTGAAATCAATACAGCTAACCAATGCGATTGTGTTTTGAATCTTTATCACTTTATCAGTTTGCTCTCAGCATAGCACAGGAATACCAAGCTCCCTYATAGTACCAAACCTAAGAATTACCAGTACTTCATACCTGAACTCCTCAAGTCCGCTGTACAAACCCTTCATGGGAAGACTTGAGGCTCCCTCGGCCTGGATCACGGCTACCAAAAAATACAACGATTACCTTCAGGTAGACCTGGGCCACGTGTTCTACATTGGTGCAATATTGACCCAAGGGTGTGGTTATCCTATGAACTATTGGGTCACGTCTTACACAGTACGGTATTCACTGGATAACAAAGCTTGGAATACATATAGCGAGTTCCAASGAATAGTGAAGGTATTCGTTAAATGAATCAATGGTTATCATTTTGCGCGCTGGTGTTGCTCATGCATGCACCACTTTCAAAAATGTCGGAAAAGCTACGACCGCCAATATCGGGGGATTGGTGTCGAAACATGGAAACGAGACGTCACATGCCATACATCTTTAAAACACTAAGAAGATTGCACGTATACATTGTCCCAAAGTTTTGAAAGACGTATTGGTATGTTATTTATAACAAAGTACTCTTGTTAGACAACATTAAAGTATACTATACGACATTTGATACCTCGTTTTAGTGAATGCTAGCGATGATATTCATGATAACAATAAGTGCAGGCTTTGAATGAATATGCCATAGCTGGCAAAATAAATTCTTTGATTACAATATACGTCACGGGGCCATCTTGGTTGAACTTTAACCAAGGGTTTCTAGCTCATTAGTACCTATTGTTCATTCCACCAACATGGCCACCGATCTTTTGTCTTTTGCATCTCGTGGAATTATTGAAATAGATCAATAGTCTTAATTGAATTGCATATCTTAAAAGCATTTTATCTGCAAAACGACCTGTAAGAATATATTTTTTAAGACCACCATAAATGTTTAGGTTTTCACAGGGAATACYAACAGGGGAGATATTGTAACCAATAGCGTTAAATATCCATTCAAAGCCAAGTTTGTTCGTGTTTATCCTCGTACGACTAAAGGTTGGAAAGCAATGAGAATCGAACTCAAGGGAAATAAACAAGGTTTGAACATTGGTTTGTGCTAAATTATCTTTTGCAATATTGTAGTAAGTTTTACGAAGAGCGAAGGGAATTATCCATCGCTTTAAATTTGCCGCTGTGATATATTATACTTAAAGCCTTTCTTCCAAACCTGAATCATGCAATATTGTGAACCAAGCCGACCTGAAGTCATTGAATGTTGGAATGAGGAGGATGTAATGAGGAGGATGTAATGAGGAGGATGTAATGAGGAGGATGTAATGTCTATAAGCAAGAACGGCTTGATGAAGAAGTAGCTGAGATGGTCTTCTCAAATTAATGATTCAGTTTAATTTTTTATGATTTAACAGTCCATGACTTATAAAAATGTTATTCTGGAGGCGCTAAGAGGCTAATCGAATTAATGGCACTGCGTCATACCATGTACTTTGGAAACTGAAAGTTTGTGATAGATTATCTCTTGGCTTATATTGCACCGATCA